CACCTTTCCATTTCTCCTACGGAGGCAGATAACAATCTTCAGGTAGCAGATAAGGATGAAGCTCAGAGGGACACAATACTGGAGCATAAACAGGGAGGTGGTAAAAAGGAGCTGGTTCATTTTGGAGGGCCAGTTCTCTATGCAGGCTACCCGGTGGGTGTAGAGGTCAGTGGGGAGAGAGAGGTTGTGGAATGGCTCCTCAGTTAGGTGGTAGGACAGGAGGAAGGGAATAGACAACAGAAGAGAAAATAGCCAAATCAATGTGATACCCCAGTAGGCATGAGATACATTGGGCCTCCAGCCACGGGGGTTCACAATCAGCTGATATCTTTCAACAGCAATTAACACAAGTGAGAATATGGACACAGAAATGGAGACACTCTGCACATAGGAGGTGAGTTTGCACATGGTTTCCCCAAATATCCAATGGTCCATCAGAGTGTAGATGACAGTAAGAGGGATGCACATGACACATACCAAGATGTCAGAGAGAGAGAGATTGGCAATCAGTATGTTGGTGACATTCTGAGCTTCTCTGTGTTTCTTGAAGATGACAATGATGAGAGAGAGGTTTCCAAAAAGGCCCACAATTAAGACCACAATATAGCCTATGAGTAATAGGAACAAGGCTAGAGAAGCAGGTCGACAGGACTCAAAGTAGAAATATGCAGAGTTGTTGCTCTTTACATATGTTTTATTAGGTAATGGATGATTTAAGGAAAGTTCCATTTTGTCAGGGTTATGCAAAAGCTTTTCTAAGCTAACTTGTATGGGTGAATAATTTAATCACCAGTTCTTGGAAAGTACTTTGCTTTCAGCCTTCTAAGGAGTAATTAGTAGGATTTAATCTTCTTTGATCTTTGTGCTTGATAGAAATGCGTGAATGACTTGAATATGCTCTTGAAATTCTAAAAAATTAAACAATGCAGAATATTAATGTAAGTTCTTCACAACCTCGACAGTCCTGTAGGTGGAGCAGTGTTTCTGAGAGGACATAGAGAGATTTCAGAGGGTCTGTCTCTATCCTTGCCCTCCTCTCATCTCAGAGTGCTTTTTTTTTGTCCCGCCAACATAGTCTTTAAAGCGAATGAGTAAGGAAATGTGACAGCATTCTGTTAACTGTATAACACAGCCCAAATGCACATTTCCATCCCTGTCACCTTCTGTCTCATGTATGTGTGCTCCGGAGGCTAGAAGTAATGTGCTTGGAGTTGAGTTCCATTTAGACCATTACAATATGTTGTCTGTATGACTTTAGCATAAATCGGTCAGCTTTTCTGCTCAGTTTTCTTGTCTGAAAAATAGGGATAAAAATTCTGTTTGAGTTGGAAGGATTAAATGAGATTATGCAACTGAATTTGTCCACAGCCCCAGCATAGAGCACGCAATAGGTGTTCAGTGTATGTGTGCTGAATAAAATTTGTCAGCTCCCTGCCCAGAGCTAGTATATAGCCTTTAGTCTGCAGTGGTGGCTAGAATCACAGATCCTGCCTGGTATGGAGTAACTACGACTCCTCCTCTTGGTTGTTTTTCCACTCTTTGGAGCGGAAGCCATACTCTGCACAGTTTCTAGGTACACTGCTCAGATTCTGGAGATCAAGGCAAAGGGTATGCCAGTGCCTAGTGTGCTATTACTCAGAAATAACTTTATTTAGAAAGCATTCTGCAATCCTCCCTCCCTGAGTCCCTTCTTCTGACTTCCAGAGGAGAAGAGGGCCCTGATCCTATGGCTCAGCATAGCTTAGGGTGGTTGTATTCAGTGGAATTATTCATACCAGGTTATACAACAGGCATGGTAATCCCCATGCCATTCTACATGCTGAGATTTCTGTCCCAAAAAGGGCACATTGAAAGCAGGCAAAGGAAAAAAATACCCCTCGACTTGCTTTATTCTCTAGGAATTTGAGGAAAACGTAAATAACATTGATAAAGGGAGCTGAGCAATAAAAATGAAAGAGAACAAACTTTTAGTTGCTATTTGAAATTACCTTGGCTTGCTCTTACATTTTCTCTGAGTTCAAAAGCTTGGCAGATTCTCATTGGAAAGAAATCACCTTAAGAATACCTGTTATGGCTGCCTGTGGTTTTAACAATAGAGACCAAAATGAAGAACACCATAAAAATACTAGAGATGAATAGAAACTGTTGATAAAGACAGTATGTCTTATAAAGAAAGACCCAAGGAACTGATCTGTGGCTTAGATGTGATACAGGGATAAGTAGAAAAAGCAAAATTAAAAAGCAGTGGTTTTAGAAATGAGGGTTTAGGGCTTGGACAATTCATGGGTTCAACAGACCTGGAGTTTACAGGTATTGGTTGAAGGGGAATGTCAAGACAGATTTAAGCTCTTTAAGATGATCAATGGACTAGGAATATAAATGAAAAATAGAAAAATTTGAATGTTTACTAGAAACCTCCTCTGAAGCAAGCTTCACTTGGAGGAAGAGAGGAATGAAAAGGAGACAATAACTACACATACTGACTGGTTGGTAGGCTAGAATGAGCACTAGACTTCCTGCGGTCCTGCTGCTAACGAGCTGTTTTGATTTTGGGCAAGTCAGTCCCCTTCCCTGGGCCTCAAATTATTCATCTTTCAAATGAAATTTTAGGAATGGCTTCCCTACTTTGTACCTTGGTATAAGGGCCAATGAAATAATATGTTTAAAATATCTGATAAACCATTAAATAATGTGGAAATTCAAGTGTTTATTAGTATTGCTGTCCTTGTTGAAGCCTCCAAAGAGTTATGGGTGCTTTTATACCTGTTGTACTATTTATTTCTCCAACATCAAGTTTGCTGGAAAGAGGTGGGATTGTTTATCTATTTCATAGATAGAAACCAAAGTACAGAAAGGTCCAAGAACTTACCTAAAGCTGAACAGAAGTGGCACAGTCTTGTGCTTCTTTTTTTTTCTTCCCAGCCCTAATACTGTCTGCAAGAAAGAAATGCTTCCTATGAATCCTGCCAAGATAAGTTTGAATAACAGTTTTCTCTTTACAGATGTGGAAATTCATACAGTTTTGCAGAGTTCCTAGCAGAGTGGTAATAGAGAGGGGAATAAACATGGGGAACCTTTGTGTTGCCCATTCTTGCTGATCTGAGTGAATGGGAATCACTCAGCACCCTGCATCAGCAGGTCTGTGGCTTCGTATACAACCCTTTACTATCTTGTGTTGATTAGTAGCAAAGTACAAATTATCTCCCCAGTCTGTAAACTCCTATGCAGGCTTGAAGCTTAGAAAAGTCAGAAGAAGATCTGATGGGCCTCATGTGGGAGGGAATCAAAGGGGAGTGCTGGAGTTACAGTATCTGGTGCCCTCTACACAGTCGAGAGGAGGTTAACAGGAAACCCCCCAATATGGGATTTTAAATGGCAATGTGGGATTTACACGTTACATAGAAAGGTAACTACTAGGTTAAAATATTAAGTACTGCCTATCTGGAAGCAAAATAATGCTAAGCCTTGATTAATAAAAAAAATTCTTTGGATACATTTCTATTTTAGGAAAGTTCATGTTTGGCTTGTTTTGTTGGAAATGACCAGGGATGTGAGATCTCAAATTGCCAAATGGTACTTTGCCCAAAAATAAGTTTAGCGCATGGTAGAAGTTGGTAGTCTTCAACCCTCAACTTCATTGTGTCTGCCTCATGAGGCAGATGCCTTGAGCTGGATCCATTTATGCTTTTATGTAAAAGTACATTATTACATTGTACATTTTGGTAGTTTTGTGTGTAAAAGTTTCAGGATGAACAAAGTAAGAGAATCACTTTTCTATGCCGAAGTCTCTCTATATAAATATGCCAAAGTCTCTATATGCATATTTATTTTTGTATCCGAATATCTTTTTGTTGGTATGTGTCTTTTTCTATGTCTCTATTCCAAGAATTCCTTTTTGTGGGGCTGAGTAGGGTTAGGAGTAGAGTTCATGTGTGTCTGTCCTTTGGTTTCTCTGTGATGTTTTCTTTACTTCTCATTGTCTTCCTTTCCACCTGTCTGTCTCATTGTCTTCTGTTTCCCTCTTTCCTTTAATTATCCATAACCCAGAAAAAGTAAAGCATATTTTAAATTATCTATTATATTTCACTTGGTGCTATGGTGTTTTGACCTGGGAGAGATGCTACCAGTATTTTAATATATTGCTCTCATTTGACAGATGTTGTAGCTTTGCAGTTAATTAAACTACTGGCAGAACAGGACCAGAGCCCAAGTCTCCTGGTTTTTAGAGTTCCATGCTCTTTGTACTATTTTTGCTGCCTTTTGTTTTATATTTCTTATAAAAGAAATTTCTGTATTTCTTGCTTTTAATATTAAGAGCAGGTGAGTAGAACATTTTCTATTTCCTTTATATTAAAAAATTCTTTATGTAACTTCAGGGAGTCTGTGGCTTTGTGCAAGTGAAACTTTGCGCCCCCTGCTCTCCAAGTGTGTACGTGAGGGTCCCAACAGGGCGGAACCACACTGCAAGCATCCCCTCAGTAGAACTCTCTCCTCTTTTCCTTAAACCTCTAGGAACACCAATTCTATGGCTGTGTTGATGCCAATAACATCTCACACTTGTTTAGGGCTTAATGATTTTTAAAGTACTACCCCATTCATCAATTCACTTAAGAATTTAAGTGCTGACAAGGTGAGCTGTCTTACTTGATCTCTATAGCAGTCCTGTACTTTGGATAGGAATGATACTTTAATTCTGTCTAGAATAGAAAACAAAGTCACTGGCAACTAAGACACAGTGACTTTCTCATAGTTGTATAGGTAGTAGCAGAATAGGGAATAAGACTTCTACTTTCTAAATCACATGCAAAGTAATATTTCTAATTTATTTGATTATTTCATTAAAAAATCAAATTAATCTTATGTCCTCCATGAAAAAAGAACTAGAATCTCTGTAAAGACACATCTTAGAACTTTCCCCAAGAGCAAGGTCCTATATTAAGTAACCATGAGAAACAACAAGAAACAAAGCCCACTCTCTTATAGCCTTATTAAAAAGTGTAGTGCTCGCTTCAGCAGCACATGCACTAAAATTGGAATGATGCAGAGATTAGCATGGCCCCTGTGCAAGGATGATAAGCAAATATGTGAAGCGTTCTGTATTTTCTAAAGACAAAAAAAGGTGTGATTGGCCTGGTTATTCTACATTGTGCGAACTCCTTATCCTATTCAACTATTCACCCATTCTAAAAAATACAATTTTATGTCTATCTATTGCAGAAGTATGTGCTGCATACTTGAGATTTAGGGATAACATTTGACTCATCTGTTCTTTTATTACATGTACTTTGATATTCTCTGCTGGAGATGGTTTATCTGTTTTTTCCTTCAATTTGACAACTGTTTGAGTCCATATAAAGTGTTAGTGAAAAATGTACATATTTCATCTCCCAAAATCTAATAGTTACTTTTAAAATCAAGCCAACACAGATGATCTGAATTGGCTTTAATTTTCTGTGAAGGTTAATGACTGAGCTGGTTATTATAGAGATGTTGAGGATTTTAATTCTTTTATTTATTTATTTTTTTTTTTTATTAATTTATTTACTTTTTAAATACATTTGTCTCTGCCTTCCCCCCCCCCCTTTCCCTTGCCCCCTCCCACCTTCCCTCCCTCAGCTCTTCCCCTTCGGTTTTGTCCATGAGTCCTTGCTATATGTTCCTTGACTTTCCCCTTCCCTTCCCTTTCCCTGCCCCCCCCCTTCCCTCTTGTCTCTGTTGATTTCTTTTCCTTTCAGTGTTGCTGGCCATATTTGCCTTGCTTCTTTGCATTGTTGGTTAGGTTCCGCTTATATGTGAGATCATATGGTATTTGTCTTTCGCCCCCTGGCTTATTTCGCTTAGCATGATGCTCTCCAGTTCCATCCATGCTGTTGCGAAGTTTAGTACTTCTTTTTTCTTTCTGCTACGTAGTATTCCATTGTGTATATGTACCATAATTTTTTGATCCAATCATCTACTGATGGGCATTTAGGTTGCTTCCAACACTTGGCTATTGTAAATTGTGCTGCTATGAACATTGGGGTGCATAGGTTCTTTTGTATTGGCGTTTTGGTGTTCTCAGGGTATAGTCCCAGCAGGGGAATCGCTGGATCAAAAGGCAGTTCCATTTTCAGCTTTCTGAGGAAATTCCACACTGCTTTCCATAGTGGCTGCACCAGTCTGCATTCCCACCAACAGTGGACTAGAGTTCCCTTTTCTCCACAGCCTCGCCAGCACCTGTTGTTTGTGGATCTGTTTATGATGGCCATTCTGACCGGTGTGAGGTGGTACCTCATGGTGGTTTTGATCTGCATTTCTCTAATGGCTAGTGATGCAGAGCATCCTTTCAAATGCCTCTGGGCCCTCTGTATCTCCTCCTTAGAAAAGCATCTGCCCAGGTCCTTTGCCCATTTTTTGATTGGATCGTTTGTCTTCTTGGAGTAAAGTCGAGTGAGTTCTTTGTATATCTTGGAGATCAAACCTCTATCTGATGTATCATTAGCAAATATATTTTCCCAAATGGTTGGCTCCCTTTTCATTTTGCTGATGTTTTCTTTAGCCGTGCAGAAGCTTCTTATTTTGATGAGGTCCCACTTGTTTATTCTTTCCTTTATGTCCCTTGCTTTAGGAGACATATCAGTGAAAAAATTGCTGCGTGGGATATCTGAGAGTTTCCTGCCAATGTTCTCCTCTAGGACTTTGATGGTGTTGCGACTTATATTTAAGTCTTTTATCCATCTTGAGTTTATTTTTGTGTATGGTGTCAGCTGATGATCCAATTTCAATTTTTTGCATGTAGCCATCCAGCTCTCCCAACACCATTTGTTGAAGAGGCTGTTATTGCTCCATTGTATGCTTCTGCCCCCTTTGTCAAATATTAGATGTCCATAGAGACCTGGGCTTATTTCTGGGCTTTCTATTCTGTTCCACTGGTCTATGGGTCTGTTCTTGTGCCAGTACCAGATTGTTTTGAGTATAGTGGCTTTGTAGTAGAGTTTGATGTCCGGTATTGTGATCCCTCCTACTTTGTGTTTCTTTCTCAAAATTGCTGCAGCTATTCGAGGTCGTTTATGGTTCCATATAAATTTTTGAAATGTCTGTTCTATTTCTGTGAAATACGTCATTGGTATCTTAATAGGGATTGCGTTGAATCTATAAATTGCTTTTGGTAGTATGGACATTTTAAGGATATTAATTCTTCCAATCCATGAGCACGGTATATGCTTCCATTTATTTGTGTCTTCCTTAATTTCTTTTTTCAATGTTGTATAGTTTTCTGCATACAGGTCTTTTGTGTCTTTGGTTAAATTTATCCCTAGGTACTTTATCTTTTTTCGTGCTATATCGAATGGTATATTTTTTCTGATTTCTTCTTCTTCTATTGCATTGCTGGTGTACAAAAACGCCTTTGATTTCTGAATGTTGACTTTGTATCCTGCTGTTTTGCCAAATTCACTTATTAGGTTGAGGAGTTTTTTGGTAGAGTCTACAGGGTTCTCTATGTACACTATCATGTCATCTGCAAACAATGATAGTTTTACTTCCTCCTTTCCTATTTGGATGCCTTTTATCTCTTTCTCTTGTCTGACCGCTGTGGCTAGGACTTCCAATACGATGTTGAAAAGAAGCGGTGAGAGCGGACATCCTTGGCGTGTTCCCGATCTTAGTGGGAAAGCTTTCAGTTTTTGCCCGTTGAGTATGATATTGGCTGTAGGTTTTTCATATATGGCCTTTATTACGTTGAGGAATGCCCCATTGATTCCCATTTTGCTGAGTGTTTTGATCATAAATGGGTGCTGTACCTTGTCAAATGCTTTTTCTGCATCTATCGAGATGATCATGTGGTTTTTGTCTTTTCTTTGATTTATGTGGTGTATCACGTTTACTGATTTGCGTATATTGAACCAACCCTGCATCCCTGGGATGAATCCCACTTGATCGTGATGGATAATCTTTTGAATGTATTGCTGGATGCGGTTTGCCAATATTTTGTTGAGGATTTTAGCATCTATGTTCATCAGCGAAATTGGCCTGTAGTTTTCTTTCTTTGTAGGGTCTTTATCTGGTTTGGGGATCAGGGTGATGCTGGCCTCATAGAAGGAGTCTGGCAGTCTTCCCTCCTCTTGGATTTTTTGGAATAGTCTGAGAAGGACAGGGGTTAGCTCTTCCTTAAATGTTTTGTAAAATTCTCCTGGGAAACCGTCTGGCCCTGGACTTTTGTGTGCTGGGAGTTTCTTGATTACTGCTTCAATTTCCCCAACTGTTATCGGTCTATTCAGGCTTTCTGTTTCTTCCTCCTTCAGTGTTGGAAGATTATACTTTTCTAAAAATTTGTCCATTTCATCCAGATTTTCAAATTTCTTGGCATATAATTGTTCATAATAGTTTCTGATGATCATTTGTATTTCTGTGGTATCAGTTGTTATTTCTCCTCTTTCATTTCTGATATTATTAATTTGGGTCCTCTCCCTTTTATTCTTGATGAGTCTGCTTAAAGGTTTGTCCACTTTATGAATCTTTTCAAAGAACCAGCTTCTGGATTGGTTGATCCTCTGAATTGTTCTTTTTGTCTCTATGTCATTCAGTTCTGCTCTAATCTTGACTATTTCCTTCCTTCTACTTGCTCTGGGATTTATTTGTTGTTGTTTCTCCAGTTCTTCAAGTTGTAGTGTTAGGTCTTTTATTTGAAATGTTTCTATCTTTTTAAGGTAAGCCTGTATTGCTATGAACTTCCCTCTCAGGACCGCCTTTGCTGTGTCCCATAGGTTTTGGACAGTTGTCTGTTCATTTTCATTTGTTTCCAGAAATTTTTTGATTTCTTCTCTTATCTCATTATTGACCCATTCATTGTTTAAAAGTGTACTGTTCAGTCTCCATGAGTTTCCAAGTTTTTGAAGTTTCTCTTTGAGTTTGATTTCGAGTTTCAAGGCCTTGTGGTCTGAGAAAAAGTTTGGTATTATTTCAATTTTCCTGAATTTACTGAGGCTTGCTTTGTGTCCTATCATGTGGTCTATCTTTGAAAAACTGCCATGAGCATTTGAAAAGAATGTGTATTTTTCTTCTTTGGGATGTAAGATTCTATATATGTCAGTTAAGTCTCTTTGATTCAGTGTTTCATTCAGCTCCTCGATATGTTTATTAATGTTTTGTTTGGAAGATCTGTCCATTTTGGACAGTGGGGTGTTGAAATCCCCTACTATCAGTGTGTTGCTATCTATATCTTTTTTGAAGTCATCCAACAATTTCCTTATAAACTTGGGGGCTCCTATATTGGGAGCATATAAGTTTACAATATTGATGTCTTCTTGATAGATTCTTCCTTTAAGTATGATAAAGTGCCCCTCTGGGTCTCTCTTTATGGCCTTTGCTTTGAAATCGACTTTGTCTGATACAAGTATGGCAACGCCAGCCTTTTTCTCATGTCCATTTGCTTGGAATATTATTTTCCATCCCTTTACTTTCAATCTGTGTAGGTCTTTTGCTCTGAGGTGGGTCTCTTGTAGGCAGCATATGTGTGGGTCATGTTTTCTTATCCACTCAGCTACCCTGTGTCTTTTGATTGGGGCATTTAGTCCATTCACATTGAGAGATATTACTGATAGAAACTTACTCATCTTTTCTCTTTGTATTTGTGTTCCTCTCCGTCTCATTCTTTTCCTTCATCTGCTTAAACCAGTCCCCTTAGCATCTCTTGGAGTGCTGGTTTGGTAGAGATGTATTCTTTTAGCTTTCTTTTGTCTGGGAAACTCCGTATTTCTCCTTCTATTTTAATGGAGAGCCTAGCTGGGTAGAGCAGCCTTGGCTGTAGGCCCTTGCTTTTCATGGCTTGGAATATTTGTTGCCATTCCCTTCTGGCTTGGAGTGTTTCTGTTGAGAAGTCAGCTCCTAGGCGTATCGGGGCCCCCTTGTATGTTACTTTCTCCTTCTCCCTTGCTGCCTTGAGGATTCTCTCTTTGTCTTTGACATTTGCCATTTTAATGATGATGTGTCTTGGAGTGGACCTCCTTGGGTCCTTCTTGAGTGGGGTCCTCTGTGCCTCCTGGATCCATGACAGCCTTTCTCTCCTCAAATTAGGGAAGTTTTCCATCATTATTTTTTCGAGGAGGTTCTCTATCCCTTGCTCCT